CTCCTTGCGACGTTTGCGTTCGCTGCGCTGGCTGACGCATTCGCTCGTCTCGCTGCTGCTGCTGCTGCTGGCGCTGCGCGCCTCCTCCTCCTGAATGCGCTTCCGCCTTCGTTCGAGGGCGGCGAGCTCCTCCTTGTTGAGCTTGACCTCTTTCTTGCCGCGGTCTTGGGCACGCTGGATACGCGCCAGCGCTGATTGCACCAATGCCTCCTCTTCCCTCTCTCGCAGGACCAGCTGTGCCCCCTCGTCGTAGTCGTCGTCGTCGCCGGAAGAAGTAATGTCATCGTCCTCTTCATCTTCAGAGCCTTGGTAAGGAAAGCTCCTCCGCGTTGCGCCGGTTCGGTCTCCCAGGTCTACCCCAGTAAAATGCAACGGATCGCTCACGAGCCGCCTGTCATTCGAAGTCAATCCAACGCCCTGTGTATCCGTATCATCGCCCGTGTCTACTTCTTCGACAATCCTTTCTCCGTTTTCCCAGTACCCGCTGTGCGCATCCTCGTGTTCTCCCCTTGTCCTCCGCCTGCGCCGCGATGGTCTTCCCCATGGGGGCGCGAATTTGGGAGCTCGCGGCCGACCATTTAGACCGCCTCCCCGGAAAAAGCCTCATCGATAGGCTTGTCCATGAAAGAAGCGTGGCCGAGAATGACCACGCCAGATGCGCCAATGAGCCACAGGAGCGTCGCAAAGGGCGACGCGAGAAGACCCAGGGGAATGGCGATAACGAGGAGACCGGTGTACAGCTGCGACGTGGTGGCCTTGAAGGTACCGATCTCAAGGTCGCGGCCGTCGAGGCGGCCAATGATGAACATACCGGCGACGACAAAGATGATGTCGAACATGAGCAGCCAGTTGGTGAGCAGAGCGTACAAGCTTAGCATGGCAAAGACGACGGCATAGTTGCTCGAGTAGTGGCTCAGGTTGTAGTTGACACGCGACTGCGCCTCGCCAAAGTTGGCGGGCTTGCTGAGGCGCTTGAAGTCCAGGAAGTCGGAAATAGGACGCAGGTTCGAAAAGCGGCTGCCGACAGTGCCTGTCGACAGGCTGCCGAAGCGTTCCTGGAAGTTGAGGCGCGACGTCAGGGCGTCAAGGGGAATCTGGATGCGGGCCATGGTAGCGGTTGGGTGACGAGACGTTGTTGGTGGTGATGGTGATGGTGATGATGGTGATGGTGATGGTGATGATGTTTATTGTTGTCGTTGTGGCAGTGGCCCGGGCGGTGGGAAGCGGTTGCGGGTTTCACGTGTCTGAAGAATGCGATGACAAGGGACGATTCAGTCGCGTTTGGCTGCTTATAAGACCATGTCAGATGATGTTCTCGCTGGTGCCTATATGCTGCGGCGACAAGGAGAGAGGAGTGTTTTTTTTTTCCGGTAGTAGAAATGGAGGCGTCTGCGCAAAGCTTTTTCTGCCACTGATGCCTGGAAAGTAGTCGTGGGCTCGTCGTCAAGAGCGAGGACACGTTACGTACGTACCTGTGAGAATCCCAAAGGATGGATGGATTGCGTAACGGCCTGGTAGGCAGAAGGATAGCGTGATGACTAGGTGGTTCGAGGAATGCTAGGTGCAAGAGCCAACCCGTGCAGAGGAGA